TATATATATATATATATATATAATAATAACATGGAATGATCAAAACGCATTAAAATACAGCTACAATGTATGAGTTAGTGTTTGGCAATTTTGTTACAAACCTAAAAAGCCAGTAAACTGTGACTAAATTATTAGATATATGATTTCATCTCTATATTTTAAGTTCTTAATTGCCAGTTGTTTAACTGAAAAGTGTGTCACAATATAATAAAAGCTTATTTCTGACAGAGGTGTGTGCAGTTGTTACAGCCAGCTATAGCTCTTCTGCTGAGGAGATTTGCCTCTGTGAATACAGCACATTAGCGCACACTTATGTAACAAGGGTAATCTGAGTACACGCTGGCTGGGATAGGGGGGGGGGCAGGCAGTCAGCACATGTCTATGGAGATATGCTTTCAGACAGCTGAGGGCCAGCGCTCACCACCCACGTGGCTGATCTGGCTGGTGTTGCCCACGACTCACAAAACTGAGGCCAGCAGAACTGCCAGCTCAGAGGAGCAGTTTCTGGCTGTCATGTGTGACGTTGGCTGGGTGCTGCCTTGTGTGGACACATCACTCCCTCAGACAACATGTCGGTCTTCTTATTTAAGGTTAATTTGACAGTTTGTTTGACAGACTTGGAAATCGACAGTGAGTCATACTTACCATAGTCTGAGATGGTGCATGCATTGGCCAGTGACAGCAGCATGTCCAGCATGGATACGGCATCCGAGAGCTTGTAAAGGCAGTGAATGTGCTGGTGGATAGTGCTCAGCAGCTGACATATCACCCTGTATGGAGACAAGTCAGATGCTACAGGGGCACTGCACAGGAGGGAAATTAGCTAACAAATAGCACCCTCTGGTGGACAAAAAGTAGTAGTCAATATTTAAAGATGATCTTTGAACTTAGGCACATTTCTGCACAGTCATATTCTATAGTGATAGGATCATGATCTCCTTACACATAGGACATGTGAAAGATCTCCCTCAGGGCCTCATCACAGCGGTCATTCATCTTCATCAGGTCTGCAATGGTGAAGCCGTAGTTGTTGTTGTGCTTTGTGACCTGCGGTGGCATACGTTTTTTTTTGTGTTCGTTAGTTTCATTTAACTTTATTGTCCCGATAGGGGCAATTCGTTTTTCTGTTCTTAGTTAGTCTATTAGCCCCGCCTCTCGTGGACTTACCTTGATAAACTCAGAGGGGAGTTTCCCTTCAGGTAAGACCACTCCCTCGAGCTTCATTTGAATGAAGAAACCTCGAGCTGTGCTGTAGCTGGTACGCATTGGCAAACCGTACTTCTCCCCCATCTGGTTCACTAGCCCTGTGCAACACAACGCCATTCAATGAGCTTGGATGTATAAATAACATACACAAACATCGCAAACCAAAGATATTAACTGAACGGACAGACTACACACCTGCAATGTCGTCCACTATCTCAGTGTAAGCTCTGCGCGCAATGTCGAGGAACTCGTTGATGTTGGGGCGGACAGCGTAACACTTCTGGGTGCGCATGTTCAGGCTCCCCTTCAGGTAGGTAGTGTCCTCATTAATCACGGTCTTGATCTGCTCTAGGATCATGTCAAACCTGAGGCGGACACAAATACGGTGGCAGAAGTCTGTACACAGTACACGATAGTAAATGTGTATTATATTTACAACATAGGCAGAAAGCTTGGTACCTATTGTCTTCCAATGCGGTGCTGTAGGCCTTGAGCAGAGCCGTGTTGCAATTCTTCAACCCCATCTGTTCATAAAGTGCAATGTTTAAAGGACTTGCAATTTACATTCTAACTAAATAACAACTAGTACAATACTGTGGGGTAAAAAGCTTTTTTTCTCCTTCTATTCATGGCTACAGGATGATGTTGAAGAAATTTCAGACCCTTAACCGTGGCACCAGGTCCAATGTGTGTTTCAGCTGAATGACGTGTGTAATCTTTGCTTCAGCAACCTGAACCTGCAAAAACAAAGCAACCGTAATGAAAAAGGCATGAAAAGGGAAAGAAATACCAAGTGTCTTTAAGCATTCACACACACACACACACACACACACACACACACACACACACACACAC